CGTGCATAGGGTTTCCAAATTTTATATCTGTTGGTACATCTTGTGCGGCAAGAAGAAAACTTTAAATAATCATCTAGACGTACAACACAAAAGCCCTTGATATACTTAAAAAGTTGTGTCAGACTTAAAAAACTTCGACGGGTTTTGAGATCCATCCATCTTAGTTTCGACAGTCTTTCGTCGTAATTAATGTCCTTGCCAATAATCCACCTAGAGGCATTACGTTGAATCCGCTCTAGTTTATCTGACAAGTATTGTTGACGGGGATTCCAAGCAGGGCACGCATATTCAATTATTGGACTAACCATAGATGTATACCCTATTTTTATAGCTTCAGAGCATCTGCCAAAGGTGCGTTTAAGTAAGCCCAAAACGCGATTTGCTTTTGCATCAACTGATAGAACATAAGATTTCATGAAAGATCACATGAAAGAGTTAGACCAAGATGCTTGTGTGAGGAAACTTTCGTCAATGGAACCGAGTTCATGTTATAAGAACAGGTGGTTACTGCCCTCGATTTTGTAATTCTCATGAATTCACATTTGTCAATGTTTAAATTCAGAGACTATGAACTGCACCAGTCACTCATTTGATGTAAGCCTTGTTCAACAGGGGTAGAAACAATGTCAATAGAATCAGAGTTATACAGTAGCGTATCATCAGCGAACATTTCACTTGAGCGGGATAAAGTTTGCGGTATGTCATACACGTATAAAACAAAGAGAAAAGGGCCCCAAAATATAGCTCCGAGGCACACCTGAGATGACATTTCCTCAATCGGAGAATGCACCATCGATGACAACTCTCTGCTTTCGATCATAAAGGAAATCATTCAACCAGAGGAAGATATTGCCTTTGATACCAAAAAGTTGTACCTTTGTCAAAAGAACTTTGTGGGAAACAGGGTTAAAGGCTTTAGCAAAGTCCAAGAAGACTACATCAGTTGGTTTGCCAGAATCCAAAGCCGAGGCCCACGAGTGAAAGAGATGTATTAACTGTGAGGTGCATGATGAACCTTTTCGAAGACCAAATTGGTGATCGCTAAGGAAATTTCTTGAATTAATAAAGCAGGGTATATGATCGGCAACCAGCTTTTCCAGAACTTTTACCAAGAGACAAGTCAGCGATGTTTGTAAATCCAACCGCTTGTTAACGATACTGCGAGCATTGAAGGTCGAGATTCTGAAATTGTTGTGTTTTCCGGTCGCTGCTCCCCCACTGAGAATCAGAGAGTTAGGTCCTGGATTTAGCTCAAGATCGTTCGATAGAAGCAGAAATATGTAAAATAAATACTTATTTAGCGATAAAGTTGTCCTTCCAAACATGACTGGAGTCTTTCTTCTATTCGCCGCTTCAAGGTTGGAGGAACGCGTGAGTTTGGCCAAAATTTCATGACCAAACCGATACTTAAGGCCATAAAAACTTTCCCAAGTTGACCATTGATTGTTTAAATCCACACTAGGACTGTTTCTGGTCGATGAGAGGACATTTAGGAAGCGTAGAATGATGATGAGTTGGAGAGCCATCAAAACGCCTCTTGCCGCCATGATTAATTTTGCAAACTTGAAAGTGGTGAAATCCACTTTCCCTACGTCAACAACTGATGAAGGGTTTTAAAGTCTGGATTAACCTTTTGGCTGAATGTTTATTCCCCGCACGTAAGACCTCACGTAATTCCTTCAACTGATTTGTATCTGCCGCATAAGACTGCCATCGGAGAATTTAGCATTAAGTCTGAAAGAAAGACGGTGATTCTTATCTTTTTAAATTGTCCCTGAATTAGGAAAATTATACTAGGAAACCAGGATCTGTGTACTTCAAAACCTGGAAGAATAGTTACATACCTATTTGAGAAAGTCTTTTGTGGTTTTTCTCTTTTGAATGGCTTTCTGTAAGTACATAACATGTGGAGTGCAACGCCTGAAATGATACTAATAAATCATCCATCTCAGCTCTGTTTCCTTCGCAATATCCGAAGCAACAATCGCCTTCAACAGAAAAGCCGTCGAGCTCTTCTTTCAAAAGGTCGATCTCTAACTCTTTTATCGTTGTTAGCTTTTGGTCTTTCCATGGCAAAGTTTTCTGGAACAGAAGAACTAGATTGCAAAAACCAATTCTCGCCAAATTTGATCGACAATTTTTGACAACCGGAAGTCATGGTACATTTTTTTACGTCATGCACCAAATATCGTACTAGAGAGCTTAAGCATCGGACGTTTTTGATTCACGGACGTCAACCACAAGTTTAAATATGAGCTTCGCAATCAGTACGCATGTGCAGACGTTTTTGACGTGAGGTCGCAGACGTGAAAGCGGGGAAGCGGGATGTTTGCCGTGCGAATTGTTTTGCTCTGTCTCAGGGCTGTCTCAGTACAAGACTGACACCATGTCTTTTCAATCGTCAAATCAAACCCGTAAGTACATTGTATGTTTCATAAGAAAGTAGTTTTTTATCTGCACTTAAACAATAACTTTTAAAAATGGGACAAAATGTGCCTAACTGTGTGTTTGGCACACGTTTCCGCAGGTTCTGTTACTTGGTTTTGTTTTATCTTGAGTTGGTTTTTGTTTGTCGCCATTCTTTTAGTTACCCTACGAGCAGATGTTTTTTCCAGCACAGGAAAAATACTTATATAATAGTTTTCCTGTTCTGGAAAAAACCTCTGCTCGCAGAGTACCATTTAGTTTAAGTTATCTTGCCATGTGTTTGTTTTTATTGTTAGTTGTTTTCTTTTTGTCGAGAGTTTTATGTCGTTGCCGTATTTCACGTTCAAGAAAGTGCATTAATTTCCCCGCCATTAAGCTCTTTTATTTTTAGTGCTGAAATGTGATCGACTATTTTATACAGCTACTACCTACAGTAAACACTCGCTCTATCTTTTTTCTTTTATGTAGTTGGCATATGGAATGGTCTGAACAGCACGACGTAGCACTAATGAAAGAAGTCAGAGTGCAGCAACCGTTTAAAGCAAAGAAGAAAACGAGCAACCGAGCGCAAATGTGGCTGTCGATCGCAGAGACGCTAAGTGGATAACAAGATCCGTTATTCAAGGATTAAATGACAAAAAGATAAGTGCAAGATCGGTACGTTTTGTTGGCAGAGAAGTATCGAATGAGAATGAAGAGGGAAGCAAAAGCAAGTGGAATAAGCCCATCTTTGTCAGAACTTGATCAACTAATAGAAGAGTGTCTCGAAGTAGAAAAACTCGAGGAGGACCTCCGATAGAAAGATGGTAAGAAAAGTTGTTTTGATTTTTGCTTTCATTATACTGGGGCTAGCTAGGAAGAGGGATTGTTGCATCAGACAAAATCAAAAGGGTTGATAGTAAAAAACTACGATGTCTTAAGCCATAAGAAAGAAACTCACCAATACAGCATTTTTAATTTGAAAATCTACTCAGTTTACTCGTGTTGGTATTTTTACGGGACTCGTGACCTTAGGATCAGTTAGAGACCTTTTGGGTACTCTTTGCACCTCTTGATGGGGAAGAGTTATTTGTTTCATTTTGATCATGATAGATGTCTGTCAATTGCATTCATTTCTTCTTGCTGCTTTTTCAACTTGTTAGTTATCTCACAGCTACATTATTTACTATATTATAGCTTGTCTTCATGGCCTCTAGAAACAAACCAGTGGTAAGCTTAGCATGTGATATCTAAATTTGTTCTTGAGACCACTCATAACTCAATTTTTGTTATTGGGTTTAGGCAAAAGGAGTGGGTTTGTACTTCTTTTAGCATAATTTGTGTGATATAAACCTATAATTTTTTTGCTTGGGTAAATTTCAAGTTCCTCTATTAATTAATTTATTTATTTTTATTGTGATAAATCTTTCTACCTCCTGGCCCCCTCCCAACTATTTTAAACATAAAATGAGCATTCTTTAACTCAATCATAGCCTTTGTGAAAGTTTAGCACTTATCTTATCTTTTATAATACTTAGGGGGAGTAAAAAAATTAGATAGTTAATATTGTTAAATAATATAATTGACTCATTCACCTCTGTAGGTGAAAGTGCCTCTTGAAAATCAGAGAAGGACAGGGAAAGTGCTTTGGAAATAAGAAGAATTGCCATGTAAACATTTGGAGAAAGCAAGAAAAGGAAAAGAGAGGAAGAGGAAGAGGAAGAGGGAAATAGCAAGATTTCAAAGAAGAAAAAAAGCAGAAATTCAGGCAATGACACCATAGAGTATTTGCGAGAAAAATATACTCAAGAAATGAGCCTCCGAGAGAAAGAGTTGCAGATGTAGGAAAAACAGCAAGAATTAGAGAAGCAAAGATATGAAAGTATGATGCAATTCATTCAGCAACAACAGCAGCAACAGCTTCAACAACAGCAACAGCAGCAGTAACAACAACAACAGTTTCAAATAATGATGCAGCAGCAAAGTCAGCTTATGATGGGTATGCTTCAGCATGTGAACAAATGGAAAGAGTCATAAATTACCACCTTTCAGTTTATTCTTACTGATTAATTTCTTGGAAGAAATTTGCTTTTTCACTCACTACTTGGGTCTAGGTAAACTTGGCAATACTGTGTGAAACTTGTCAATGAGCTTGGGAGGCAGTAAAGCAGTTTTCGAAGTCTCTAATCTAATTTTAATAACTGCTTCCTTCCTAAAGTTATACATGTTTCAGGTTTATTTTCATTGCTATTTTATATCAAAAAATGAACAATCAAATGACAATGCAGAGTATAACTTTACAGTCTTGCAGATGGAATTTATGCAATTTTTGGTTGCTAATGTACAGAGTATAATTATATTGATTAGAGTTGTACGAGTGAAATTTTCAAGACAAGAATAAATTATTCATGCCATGTACTGCTGCTTTAACTATCTGGTCTTATCTTAAGTAATCATGCAGGGAAAGAGGTTCAATTTCAAAAAAGTTCGATGTCAGGTTTCTGTATAAACATGTGATTGCATTTTGAATGAGTGCACAGACTAAGTACATTTTGCCAACTGAACTCAAACCAATTTTTAGATTACTTTAAAAATCTAAGGCCTTAAACGACTTGGAAACATCACCAAAGGTCCACTCTACTGATTCCCTTACGGAGCTCATGGAGCTATTAAAAGCTTCCATTGCTGGAGTAATAGCATTCTGTCTGAATGGAACCTGTAGGTGCACTCGTATTGGGTAAGCTGGGTCCCCATAAAGGCAGACAGGGTCTCCATTTGTGTTAAATGCATACTGATCCAAACTGTCGAGTAGCTTAGAGTCTGCAAGTATCCCTGCATCATGCCTTCTACCTTCTAGGAAAAAGAAGAAACTTGTATTTCAAATGAGATGTAGTTTCGCAAACGTACCATTTCATAAGGGCTGGAAGTGTTTGGCATCACGAATACTATAGATCAAAAATTACGTAATTCATTTCTTTTACTAACCAACTGGGCCAAACAGGTTGGCTATCAAACCATTTGGTAAAGTTACGGACTGAAACTTCAAGGAGTGAACCCTTTTGTGGCCGTTGAACATTATTCTTTGTTGTTGCGAGGGTCTGGATATCGGTCTAATCGTTCCGTCTATAAACCCGAAACAATTTTGTAGTGCAGCCCCTATATTCGATATAGCATCCGTGTAGGTGTTGAAGTCACGTGGATTCAGTAGATCATGATTCCACTGACACAGTTTGTGATCATGTATATCGTAAATATCATGCTAAGTTCAGGAACCGATCGGCCGAATCGTGCGAGCATGTCGCTATATCGGCAAGGAAACGACATTTGCCTGAGCAAAACACATAGCCCCTCTAACTTGTCGGCAGTGGTTCTCTGATTACAGTGGAAGGTGTCCGGTAGTCGAAGCGCATCAGCCAGCAGTGGAAGGTCCCTTTTTTTCAACTCTAAACTCGGATTCCTCGATACTAAACCTCGCGTATTTTTCCTTCGAAAACTCAGGGTTTTTTGACGAATTCTCTTTCAGTGATAGCAACAGTTCTTCGTCTGACACCAGTCCTCGGTCATGAGCGATTAAAAGTGATTTTCTCACATCCCTTAAATACGGCATGTTGCAAATTACGGCCACATTTCCTTTGTAAATAATGACCAAAAATGTGACAGCTGTGATCAGCTGTCACGTTCGTGGTGACGCAGGTGTCCAGCTTTAGTAAAAATTTCGCGCCTAAAACGCCGTTGTCGATCCAGTCTTGCCCGGTATTCTGACGTCCGTGACATCAAATACGTCTGATGCGTAAGCTCTCTTTTTTCCCGAAGCCACCGACTCTATGCCTTCGTTGGTTATGAGAGCAGAGAAAAATATTTGTATAGTCAACGCTTTTGAATTTTTTTTTTTAACTGTTTATGTAGCGAAGTTTTTTGCTGAAATTTGGGGATTGATAACACGATTATTTGATAAAACCACAAATGATTTGTCTCTACAGGAGGTATTCAAGCTATTCCACCACTGATCACTCATATTGCACACTATTTTCCTTGCCCGGCTCGTCGCCCGAGATGCAGTAACTCCTACTGAAAAAATATCAAATATCCAGGTTGGTCAAAAGTTGTGTTTTACTTGTCTTTTGTTGGATTTTCACCAACCAAGCTGGAAAATATAAGAAACCATAAATGGAAAAGGGATTATCCAAATAATCATAATATATTTACTAATTTGAATTCGCTCCGACGAAGGGCTAACGCTCGAAACGTCAGCTTTTATAATCGTAACGGTGGCTAATTTACCATTTCAACTTTGTTGATATTTTCAAATTATTTCGTTACCCCCACCGACGCAGCCTCAAACAGTTTCTTTAGAAACTATCAGCCTTTATAAGATTATATGAGTTGAAATAAACACACAACATAGATGTGCTCACTTATGTGAGTATGTATACATTAATTTACATACATGCGTGCATACATACATACATGCATACCTAACTACGTGAATTTTTATTATCAAAACATGAACTGATTTTTTAATAGATGTATCACTGCATTTGACGTCATTCATTAACCCATGCTTCCTAATACATCGGTTTTTTTATTGCCTTGAAGTCGCTTTTAGGGTACAACTTTCCAGCTTTTAGATTTTCTTGTAAAGTTGGCCCTGAACCACCCGAATTTGCGGTCCGTTCAACGAGGTCGAACAGGTCTTCAAATGCTTTGGTACCCTCGGCTGCAACATAATTTAGTCCTTGAAGGGACTCTCGCACAGACGCACTGCATTCTTATAGGATAAGAAGTATTATTAAAAACTGGATCATTGGATAATGCAATTCAAGACTTTTTATTGGCTTAGCCATTATGGTATATCAGCCAATATACCATAATCTACAAATATGGTAAGCGTACGCATCAGCTTAAACTCAAAAGGGAGCTAAAAAATCCAGTTTCTTCTTACAAAATAATAATTTCTTGGGGGCGTTTTTAATAAAACAATTATTCCACTCGCGCTTGTTGGATATGAGATGATTATAGCCAACTCGGCGCTACGCGCCTCGTTGGCTATCTATCATCTCATATCCAACGCGCGCTCGTGGAATAATTGTTAATTATCCGCTCACTAAATGGCACAAAACCACCCTCTGAGCAATACTTCATATACTGCGTTGCAATTCGTTTAGTTCTCGTTTTTCTGATGACGTTAGGAACCTTCAATAGTCGAACTAATGATAGTTTGAGTATCTTCTCTCGAAAATGATCCAACTGCTTCCCAATTCGTTTTGTATTCCTTTGCCTTTTACTTTGCATGATCGCAGATGGGACGAAGCCCACAAAGGGTGACACTGAAAATCTCCATGATTACTCACACTTAATACAAATCGTGTAGAATCCTCTTTCAGTAGGTAGGAATAGCTACATACTGCCATTTGCTCGAAGATCGAAATCTCATTTTTGATTTTACAAGCAATCTAGTGGTCCTCGGCTGCGCTTGGAAGTCTTGGAAGGATGGTTATGTGACGCAATGGTATCACTTATTAGTCAAACAGTAACTAATGCAATTTGTTCATGTACGTGGTACATTGCACCTATACTTTGTACGTGGTAATTCCAAACTTCCTGAAAAACTGATTGACTCGAGAAAATGAGTCAGAATTGTAAGCTGTTTTGATTTCATAAGCAATTCTATGTTTTTCTCACGTATTAGATAAACAGTAGCCAATGCGATTTGTTCACGAACGTGTGCGGGCTAATTTCAAACTTCCTGAAAAACAGATGAACTCTGCAGAGTCATAACTTCCTGAAGAACTGATGGACTCAAAGAATCATATGAATTTTTAGCTCAAGCTGAAAATAGCTTGATAATTCTGGGCAAATGCCACGACAAAAGAATGTGCAACTGCCTCTTGCGTGATAGCCGTTTTTGGAAGTGAATTTTTATAAAGTGGTTACCTACTTTTTTATTTTATTTCACACTTTTTTCTATCAGAATAAAATTGGGGCTGAAGACCTATGTGAAGTCAATACGAGTGCTTTTAATGTGAGGACGAATTTAAGCTAAAACTGCATGGACGCATGGTCCCCCATGTTGATAAGCGCTGCTATATTAGGCAGTGAAGAGCACTCAGAAATGAGAATAAACAGCTCACATGTTTTAATGGCGGATACCCAACTAATTACATGAACATGCGTATGCGTTGCGCCTCACTATCTGCTTACCAGTATCTCACGGACATGATACTGATTATATCAAACATCCTTCTTCTCAAAGGAAATTTAAAAGAAAAAAAAAGAAAAGAAAATAACGATAACAGGTCCAAAATGAGGAGCTCCTCATAGTGAATGTGTTCTAAGAAATGTCACAACTCCGACAAACAAAAAAGCATATATACATGAGCAACGAACTAATATTTGATCTCATAGTCATTGAACCAGTATGGTTCTTTCCTGATCCGCTGCGGTCTTGTCTGCAAGTTTGCTTGAGCAGTGTCTGCCTTAGTGGTATCTTAAGACTCGGTCCTCTTGTCGGTGTTTGTTGATAGACTGTGCATATTGTTCTCCACAGCAGTTGTTAGGGTGTTGTCTGATGGAGCGTTCAATGTCGTGGGACGTAAATGCACTCTGTTTCTCCTGTATATACCTCCATTTCATCTATTAGGCAGTGAAGAGCACTCAGAAATGAGAATAAACAGCTCATATGTTTTAATTGCGGATACGCAACTAATTATATTAACATGCGCATGCGTTGGGCCTCACTATCTGCTGACCAGTACCTCACGGACATGATACTGATTATATCAACACCCCACGATAGCCACTGAGTTGAATTTGTTTTTATAGTCATTTCGTTGAATAATTAATAGAGGCATACAGCACCTTGAATAGGCTAGTTTCGAATTGTTTGTGCAAGAAAGTCTGGTTACTAATTAACAGCACCAAGTCGAGGTTGAGGGGAATACACGCTCATTTTGAAAGCAGATTGGAGTGACTGTAAGTGGGATATGAAGCTTTGTGCTCTCTCGGTGCATAAAAACATCTCTAAAAGAGGCCCAACCTCAACTTTTCCGAGTTTCCAGGGGGAGACTGAGAAAGAAATGGATTGCCTTCTGTCGTCGCTCTGATAAGGAGTTCACGTCCATTAACAACTTGCTTATATGCTCCGAATATTTAGAGATACAACAAAGAGCGAAGAAACATTCTAGAATTAAGAAGTTAGCACAGGGGACGGTTCGAACAATATTTAATCAGCATACAGTCCGAGTCAACGCGAAAAAAGATCGAATGAGCGGAGAAAACTAAATTCGACCGAAGACAGCAAAGAAGTTTTTTCCGAAGTACTTCTTGGGATACCAAGAAAAATCGCAACCAGATAAGTAGTAACAAAATACGGGGATATGTTACGGAGACGGCGAAGCAATTTAAACGCTGATCTTTTTTAAATGTCCATATTATCTCGTAAACTTGAATCAACAAATTAAGAGGAACTATTGTAAGAACACGCGTGGCGACTAAAAAACTAAATACAACGAAAATAACCAAGATAAACCTACCGACACAATAAGCACGCGATGATATACGAAATACCAGAATGTATCTTGTGAGCTTGCCCCGAAATCACTTCAAAAAAACACATAAATTTCACAGAAAATTTCCGCGCGACCACGAGAGCGCGACATCGCTAAATAACTTACACAAAACATAAGTAAACAATGGCTTAGAAGATTTGAGGCAAGCTACACGATATACGTATCGATCCCGCAACGCCGATGGCACGCACAACGAAGGTACCTTTTACACGGACGCGGTTTCATTTGTAACTGCATCGGTTTCGATGCGGTTACGCCTTTCGTTTACACGACCAATGAAACCGTATCGTTTTGAAAACGCTCCACTTTTGAAATCGTTTTCAGAACGATCCGATTCTGACAACGAATTCGACCGGCGCCGTGTAAACGAAAGGCGTAACCGCATCGAAACCGACGTGGTTACAAATGAAACCGGGTCCGTGTAAACAGTGCTTAAAAACTTGATGAACGACGACAAAGATAACGAATTACAACCACACAAAAACTGAGATTCAAGGTCAAAATCGCAGCTTAACTGCAACGCAGCCTAACTGCAATGCAACTGCATGTCACGCAATTACAGTCTTAGGAAAACAAAGTTTTAAAATGGAATAAAAGCATTCAAAGAAAAGGAATGTGTGTCTGTTTCTTGTTCAACGGACATCGACCACAAACAAATGGACTATACTGGATAAAATGTGTGTCGAATAACAAAACAATTCGAAACGAACTTAATAAAAAGCCAGCATTGAAACGGAAACTTTCCTGGGATGATGTTCTGAAAAACGACGAATCAGTGAAATTCCACTCAGGATTTCCGACTTTGGCCTGTCTAGTGGCGGAACTGGAGATAGCAGTATCCATTATGTTTACCTGTCTCGTCATCACTTCGATCGTGGTACTTCAGAGTCTTTAACTAAGCGAAAACCCTCAAGACTTTTGTAGGAACGTAAACAGTCTTCGTCTAACCAGGTAATGGTAAATATCAGGAAACCTGAAGTCTGGAATAGCAGTGAAGTCACGAGTCCAATCCTTAAGCGAAAGCAGATGGGGAAGTTATTTTCCTCCTGGCAATGTTATCTTGGAATTAATTAACTCGTCGCGTTTCGTTGATTCCTCTTCCGTCAACTTTTGGAACTTTTATTTCCGCTGCATTCTTACATAGCTCCAGTATTTCTGCATTTCTCCTACTCTTACCGTTGATAGAAATTTGAATATCTCTTTCCTTTAAAACTCTCAAAACTCAGATAGGGGCCAAAATTTGCTAAGACAAATTCTATTCCCTTCAGCCTCGACTGAGTGCTTCAAACTAGTTACCAGACTTTCTCGCAAAAGCAATTCGTAATCGCCATTCTTACGTTGCACAGGGAATTTGCTCGAGTCGTTAGGCGCAAAGCATGCTGGGGCGGGGTTTAGAGATAACAAAAAAAGAGTCAATGTATCTTGTTCCATTCAATTTTGTGATTGTGGCTATGTTAAAAGGCATTCTTTGCATGAATTTTGTATCTTAAAAAGTTAATAGTTCATTGTCGGCCAAGACGAAAGATTGGCGATGACTCTCGCGTGACAACTGGGAGGCACGTTCGAATTACATTCTTTGTCAAAATGGCCTGACTTTTTTAAGCTGGACGTGCTGTTTATGTCGAGCCAAAAAAGGAAATGGGAGGAGATGAACTGCAAGGATAAAAACTTTAAGGCGATACAAAATTTAATTTTTGAAAATAAATGGCAAGACTTTCTAAGCCCGGCCTTCAAAATTATCCTCTATTTTGCCTTTTCTAAAAGGCACGGATTACATCATTCTAACGGGTCATTGTGCCGACTAAAACGTAGCAACATAACACGAACTTTACATTTTTGAAAAGATAAAAGGGCCATCTGCTTGCAGAAGCAATAGCAAACCGGGAATGCATCACGTTTTAACGGTCGAAGTTGCCTAAGTTGCAGAATTTTTTAGTGATTGTCTTGGGCACGAAGGTCGTTTCAGCGAATGTTGAACTTTTCGATTTTTCGGAAAAAGAAAAGGGCGGTAGAACTTTTCCATACAATTTTCAAAAATAGTTCATCAAAAGGGTTCTTTAGGTGAAACAAAATAAATTTCGAAATTTTGCAACTGTCGGCGGATTCTCGATATTTGTGGTTAGGGGCTCCTAATTTGTGCTGGCTAAGACCATTACAGGTCATTCGAGACTTACTCGATTAACTACCCCAAAGCTTTCCCCTTGTTACTCAAGAAAAAAAACTGCGCTACGTTGCTGTAATTCGTTGGAAAGCCCCCCTTATCGTCGAAGTAGTGTTTTCAGTATCAGCTGTATTACGCATAGTCGAGAATTTAGGGTAGCTTTCGATTCCACTCCGCCGCAGAAGACGAGAGAACTATGACTGTATAAGATACAATGTGGCATGAACATAAGTAACAAATCAACTGAGTTTTGCCCATAAAATGCCCTAAATAGTGCAGGCAGTCAAATTGAGTGTAGAAAGTTAAAGCCAATTACTTCTTCTTCGATTTGGATCTGTAAAAATTTATTTACAATTTCAATTTATCTAAAATTATTTGCCCTCGCCAAATGGGTTTGCGCAGGTTTTTGTTTCCTTTCTTAATTTTGCCCATGAAATGCCCTAAATAGTGCAGGCAGTCAAATTGAGTGTAGAAGTTAAAGCCTATTATTTCTTCTTCGATTTGGATCTGTAAAAAGACAACAAATTTCCCTCGCCAAATGGGTTTGCGCAGGTTTTTGTTTCCTTTCTTAAGTTTAGCCCGACCATATCAAGCTGTGAACTGTCCCACGAATCCATTTTCCCAAAAACCACAAGGATTTAATAACTTGCGATCAAATATTCCTTTTTGAAGTGGAACACAATAGTGTAACAGCGAAAGCTTCCACGGTCAGGAAAACGAGGATCAGGTACCTCTACCCTGCCCGCAAACTATCGTGCTGCGACGCCATTGCACTCCTTCGTATAAAAATTAATTCCTTAACGGAGGTAAACGCTTCAACTGATATGATCTTCTTTTATTTACAGTAATCATTAGGAATGTTCCACCTCTGTACTGTAGTTTTAATGCGTCGATGAAGCTCGGTTAGAGCTTTCAGTGAGAAAATTTCAGTGAGAAAATTTCAGTGGATAAAACCACACCAATCCACGCCAAACTGTTAGGTAATGATGGACCAACACAGACTGGTGGCTAGAGTTTAAGTCGTATGAGTAAGTAATGATGACTGGTTCGAATGCACAGAACAGAAATTTGACGTCTACTCAGTCCTAATAATGCATCTAGAGCGCAAAATTATTTTAAAACTGCCGGTTCCTTATAAACAAGTATTTCTAACCCTTTTACTCTCTCCTTTCAATCCTCCCTTCAAGCTTTACGTGGCTCTGGCTTCGCATATTTTATGCATTTACGACAAACCCGAAGAATGACCCTAGCATAAGAGAGAGAAGGACATGATGGAATCTTTTGTTTGTTCCTATAACTGATGGTATCCGGCTTTTAGTTGTGATAATGTTAGGAAAAGTTATTATTAGACGGCCTTTTGTTGACTATTTGTATCTCCAAAATTAAAAGAGACGCTTCCTTTGTTTTTTTTTTCATAACATTATCACATGGTCAAATTATGCCCATTGTGGTTTGTCGCCGCTGCGTCTATGAACAAAAAACGGAAAGTAAATACATCAATTTCACCACGCTATGTTAAAGATTACTTTCCTCTCCATTTTACAAGATCTGCTTTTTAGGTTTGTTTTGTTTTTTTTTTTCCAGTTCTCTTGTCCAGTAAGTGACCATGAGGGTATTTTTAACGTTTGATACGTGTTTTCGTGCAAATAACACGATATTGAAATTGATTTAATCTAGCGCTACAACAATGTTCAAACAAACCTTCTGACCTTAATACTTAAAAATTTATTGGTTATGACAAACAAGATTAGGCGCAATTAATGAACGCCAGTTTAGAAATGATCTCCTGCAGAAGGTACGAACATTTACAAACTAGAACGACTTTACGTAGTTCCACCCGAAATTATATCCAGAGTAATTTTTTCACATGAATTGGTGCAAATTTTCGAGTAAATGTTTAGAGACTCGACTGGCCAAGATCTCTTGTATCATCAACGGATATTAAAGCTCCTCCTACGGTTTAGCTGGATAATTCAGGATAATACGGTCGTCTTGTTTACAAATCTGTAACATCTTTAATCAAGCATTTTAGGAAACATTACCCGGTTTAGATAGGTAGATTCTTATTTGTCTGTGCCTTATTTTCAACTGTCTATTTTATACTCTTGGCTATTACATCAAATCATAGAAACTAGAAATATCTCGTTTTATTGACTATTTTGACAAATTTTTGTTATTTTTAAACATATGTCGCTCAAAATAACGTAACCTTTCAAATGTGACGAACACTTCCGAGAGATATTTCCGGTGTGACGTCATTTTTTGCCTGTGCGGTCAGTCCCCGCGTGGCTTTGAACTCAGCAAGTGTGACGTTATATCTAATTTTGTTGTTTTTCTTTACCACACAGAGGGGCTGTCTTTGATCGGAATTTTTTCTTCGTAGTGTGACATCGGCACTTCAACATTTCCTGACGAAAAGCTCTTTCGAGAGCAGAATTATCGATGGAAAGTTGTTTCGTAGTTTAAGACTCGTCTACAGGGTGGAACTAGCAGCTTTATAAACAGAAAGATGGAGAGCCGCTTTGTTCTCGCATGCATGATATGCCTCGTCTTTCCTCAGTCCGCGTTTGGATCGAACTTAGTGCTCGGAAGGGAAAGATCTCCAGGACTGCCTAAAGATATCTCTAGTAAGTAGTTTATTACAAACATAGGAACAGTGGTAAAGTGTGAAAGTGGTTTGAAATTTGAGGCTTCAGCCAAAAACTTTGGTGTAAACAAGTGTACGTCGTTTGCATATGTCAGCACGTACATATTTATCAGCAGTCTGGAAAGCCTAAAATTTCACAATGTGTTGTTTAATTCGTCAAATATCGAAAGTGAAATTGCTTTTATTATGAATTGAAAGCCGTCTCAGTTTTCACCTACACCAGACTAACAGCGTTGAATTTAAATGAACTAAGAAGTTGTGATTTCGCCATACAGAATTGTTTGCGCGCCGCACAATTTGGTCGATCGGATCTTACATTTTCGTCTGCGTGTATTCCTAAGCTGCAAAATCGTTTTAGCTTTCGATCTTTTCATTCGCCCGTTTGCGCAAAAGGTAACTCATCTTTCATAAGCGATATCGGAAGCCTCGGAAGTTAATTTTGACCTTGAAATTTCCAAAATTGACTCTTGCCATGATTTCTAATGAATCACAGTGCTGTTTCATTTGCCCTAATTTGGTCGTAATGGTCTGCTCTAATATTGCGGAGTTGTTACAAATTGCTTTTGCTAACTACGAATTTTCTTCGTGGATTATCCGTATGACCAGCACGCTCTCAAAGTGCGCCTGTTTGGTTAGTCACAGTTTGTTGACTTTGTTCAACAAAAGTTTTTGGTTGAAACTAGCACTGTTGAATTCTTTAGACATATCGCATTTCCTTTACGGCATGTACGCTACACCGATCATAAACTTACATCGCAGGGATGGGATATTAAAGAAAAACGATTCGAAATGGCATATTTTGCCTTTGCTAGTCATCACTGCAATTAGAATTAAAATGGTGTAAGAACCGGAAATAAATTTATCGAGTGCGCGATAATTTGTCTCCAAGACTATCGGTGTGGTTTCCGATCATATTTATCACCTCAGATAATCATAGGGTGGTTAGTAATTATCGGAAAGTGCATCGGTTTATGTAAGCATGTTTTTTTTTCCTGAATGTATTTCACAATTACCTTTCAACGAAGGACTTAAAATATTCTTGTCAGAGATGACTTGGTACATTTTATATAGGAGTTGGTGAAGTCAAATCGAGGAAACATAACTGACAAGGAAACTATAAACGAAAGCAACTGTAAAAAAGATTAAAGTGGGAAAAAAAGAGCCCTTATAGTGCCTTGCTAATTGAAGCTGTAAAGGGAAATGACAACTGGTGTGGGTAATCTGTCATGTGGGCAGACTGGAAAGTGTAATTGAAGAAAACAGCCCATATTCCAGGGCAAAAAGCTAGAGCTGACCAAGTTGGAGTCAGTGAGATTCTGTTGTGCATCAAGACACTGCTAAGAATTATCACCTACTGTAAATCCTCTATTAAGCCCCCCTCTCTAGTAAGCCCTCCCTTTTCAGCAGAGGAAAGTTAATAAGCCCTCCCCCAATCCTTATTCTTTGTGAAAAAATTAACGTTTAATGTGGACTGATCAGTTATGATTTATTCAGGCTGGAAATTCATATTGTTTTTGGTCTTTGGCCGCATGACCTCCAACTTCACATGCTTAACTTTCTCAACTTTGCACTCTAGTTCTCTGTGTAGAATTACCACCATTTTCTTATCGTTAGACAAAGCAGTATACTGCCTGGGAACCACAAGTCCGTCCTCGAGAAACCTTGCTCCTGTAGGTGAAAATTCTAAGCTGCAAGAAATCCTTGACATTGACATTGAATCTTGATCATAAGTTTCTAACTTTTCAATTTCACTTTCCATTGTTTTGTTTAGGTTATTAAATTATAAAATACCATTGAATTATAGTACCATAAATTTCAAGGCTGTTTATATAAAATATTTAAATGTAAGAGATAAAAAATGTAAATATAAGAGGAGTTTTCCAGAGATTTTCATTTGTAAGTTGTGTACGACAAATCAATATAAGTAACCATTCTTATAAAAATTGCTGAAGAATATGAGACCAAAAGCACATTTTTGAAGAATAAGAATTTTGTCTTTGTTAGTTTTAGGCCCCCACAAGTGAATGAAATACTTTTGACAGTGACTTTAATTGTACAGTGCGTAAGTCTACACTGTCTCATACCACGGTATTTTTGCTACAGGTGATGCATTTGGCTAAATTAAATAAGGCCCCCCTCTCTATTAAGCCCCCCCCCCTTCAAAAGTAATTGAAAAAATAAGCCCCCGGGGGCTTAACAGAGGATTTACGGTATTTCATAAATAATTTGATGTTACTGGATCAGAATTAACTTCTTGGTGCGTAATCAAGAAAGCTGAATTTTTATGTTTGTGGGTGTTTGTATTAGACAAGGAGCATCTGAATGTTAAGTCGTATTTGATGTATTGACCACAACATGTTACATTTGCAGTGATATGTATATAATATTGCATACTATTATTCTATGTGTGCAAAGTCTCAATTAAAACTACAGCAACTTGTTATCACAAGCCCAATTTGATATATGAAAGTATATAGAGGACGTCTAGTTTGTGTCTCAAATTCTCCATAGTTTTGATTAATTGGCAACAGGGCTTGGTGTAATCCTAATACAGTGGAATCCCGATTTTTGAACCAAACCTTGTTTCCCTTGGATTTGCTATTTCACCCCTGATATCTCGTACTCCCAATTTATCAAACCAATTTGCGTTTCCCCTGGAGGTTCAAGAAATCGGGATTCCACTGTAGGGATTCACCAATTGGACTCCCGCTTCACCATTATCTGATTCTGTTGATCATTGGTCACTGATCACCGACCAAATTTAGCTCCATTCAGTCCTTTTACCATTTCTAATCAGTGACTAGTTTACCATTAGGAAGTTTTTGTTTTGGAGTCCATTTTGCAACTTGAGAGCATTCCTTTCTTTTTCTATTCTTGTCTGTATCTAATTTAATGAAAGGTTAATGCCCATACACTGTACAATGTACTTTGAAGCTTAGGTAATCACATTAGTGAGCAATGTTTTATACACATTAAAAAGATATTAAAGTATTTGTCTTTATTACTGAAACAGAAAGCTGATCAGGTAACAAAATAATACAAATGTGTTTTTGTTTTCAATAGTTTTATTTCCCCCCCCCCTTTTTTTTACAGCTACAGATGTGGTAAAACCAGAGTTTGTCACAGAACCAGAAGATAAGTTTGTCCTACCTAACTCACTGCCAGCCAATTTGTTGTGTGAGGCCAGATTTGTGTCAAACTTAAATTTCCATTGCACTGGTGGATTAGTGCAGAGAAAATTATATGATAATCAAACTGGGAATAACGTGAAGTTGCTGATTGTGGAATTAGCTGTATCTCCAGTCCTTGCGAAAAGCAATGCTACTGATGCTGTCTGCACCTGTGTGGCTACTGGTTATCAAGGCCAAGTAATAAAAAGTCGCCCTGCAGCTGTCAAAAAAGCTTGTAAGTGGATCTTTGTTGTTCAGATGTCCTGTTTTTTGTTTTTGTTTTTTTTTTATGAGAAATATACAGTAGGTCTGACGTAGCGCCATGTAGGTGTTTATGTAGAACATTCGTGAAACATAAAATTTTAGCGCATAATTTATAAGTGAGGTTTGCTGTCTAATTCTTGTAGGTTATTTAAGTTTCAGGTAAAAAAATGTCCTAATTTTTTGTTTTTTGTTTTATTTTTTTATTTGTTTTTTGACTGTTTCTTTTTTATTGCCTTTTTTTGTGTTTTTTTTGTTGTTGGTTTGCAATTCATTTTAAAGAATTTTTTGCATGAGTATTTGCATATGTTGAAAACTGAGTGCAAGCAAGAAAAGTAAAAGTGCCAATCAGTCTCTGTCCAAAAAAAATTGTGAAAAGCCAGTTAGATATTATAATTATCATTAGAGCATGGTAGAGGAAAGGAGTGTGGTCACACAATAACTATAACTGGCTTCTACAGTGTGACAAGGTTAACTGAAAAGGAGACTTGCCTATTCAAAGAGATGGAAAAGTAATTTTTTTCCATTTTTCTTCAATGCTCATGGCAGATCTAGATGAAAATGTTGTGATTTCACCGTCTGTTGACACAAGAGTACCAAAAAATACTTTGGTCACCTTGAAATGCAAGCCTCCTGCAGGAGTTCCAAGACCAATGGTCTCCTGGTGGAAAGATGGCCGTCTCTTGGATTCAAGCAGCAGAGGAGTTCTTTTCGGAACTGATCCTAACTACCTTGAGGTTATTATAAAGAAGGCAAAAATCTCACATGGTGGGCTTTACACCTGTGAGGTATCAAACCTTGCTGGAAGCCAAAAGAGCACTGCTATCAAGTTGACAGTGTATGGTAAGTCCTCTAAGCATGTGCTCATGATCACTGTAATTTTGTTTATTTACTGAATTTTACCATGATGGCAATAGTGTAGTAGAACTTGGAAGCCTAGTTTCATAAACATTTTTAGTATCTTATCTTATGATGAACAAGTTGTTTACTTTCAAGTTAAAAAAACAACTGCATTCAGTCAAAGCAATGAGTTAAATGATTTTATTTAATTTGTTAGGCAGTCCTAAACGATCAAAACAATCAATCAAAACAAAACTGGATCAAATGCTTTTTTTCAGAGTTACTTAGCAGCAGAAGAAGGCAAAGTTGATACTAATAGTTTGTTACTGTATTATCCCTCTTCTGCATTGTTTTACCTGAAACTACATTTCTCTAAGCCAATCAAAATTGAGAACTGTTTTGATGTATATTATTTTCCTTGAAACTCATAACCTACATGTAGCTACTTGCTGTTTCTTACTAATGCTTAACTTGAAAAGGCTCCATGGACCTTTAAACTAATATTATGAAGAAGAGGTAGATGTGTATTGATCAATCAAGTTCCAAAAACATATTGCACCCCCCACACTGAGAGACCAGGCAATGTTTATGCTGCAATGTTACTTTATTGCATTGTTTGCTTGTTCTATTTATTTGCCTTCTCATAACAGTGGTCTTGGAAACTGATTATGGTGGTGGATTATGTACAGTATGTAGCATGTGAATTAAACTATTTAATTGACATAATTATTACATACTTATATTTGCAGTTGATGGTGGTTGGTCAGAGTGGCAGGAATTTTCACCCTGTAATGCACCCAAATGTGGAACTGGGAAAAAGATGTTAAAACGCTCCTGTACAAATCCTCAACCTCAAAATGGGGGAGACTTCTGTGAAGGTTCTGTCATCAAATATGAGCCATGTCAAGACTTATCTCCAGGTATATTTTATGAGAGTCAAGTTATTTAATTGTGTGAATGGGTAGTGATGAATTCTCAGTAAAACCTGACAAATCCTGGAATTAAAGATAATTCCCAGTCCCTTCACACTAAAGAAACTGTGATAAGCTCCTGGAGTGAAGGCCACTCAGCTGGAGAGCAAATTTTAACTTTTAGATTTATTTGACTTGTGTGCAATGTAAGTATCGCACCAATCTAGCCTTTTTGTCAGCCTTTGGTCTGCATGTTATTTCAAGGATGAGATAATTGCATTTTGTGCAGTTGTAAGAGTGAATGAAGAGTCCATGGGCTGAGAGAATGGATTTTGGAGAAGGCTGGATACTATAACCCTGTACTGGTGTGACATATTTTATCCTTAGTCTTATTTAGGCATGAACATTAAACATAAATTTTTCTGAGGGCAAAGTCAGGTATGAGTAACTTTCTGTTGTTGAAGCTACCTCTATAAAACTGAAATCCTTCATTAAAGCAAACCTTGAGGTGTTGATTGCTTGGGATGACAATTGTAATCAAACAAATCAAGCAGATGTTTAAAAATGAAACAGTTCTATAAAACACTCAGAATGATGGTACAGTTACAAACTCGGATGTTTTTGCTCTCTCTTACAGATGTAAGTGTAACTTGCCCTGATCCCATCAAAGTATTAGTCAACCAATCAGATGGGAGATTGTTGAATGTCTCTTGGAATAAGCCTGTTGTTCACGGTGCAGTGAACGGTACAAAGGTCTCATTGAATGTTATTCCTGATTGGGCTGTCCCACCTGTGTTGTTTGAACAAAAATATTCAATTTATACAATCAAGTATTTTGCCAAGGATGAATGTAAGCGTGAAGTCAGTTGCTCCTTCAACATCACAGTCTTAAATGTGTCTGGTAGGTTTCACTTTTTGTTGAATATCATTAACCATATTTGCTGATACAGGGGGGACACCGGTACTTAAAAAATTTTAGTATCTGATGTATACAAATTGTACTCGAAGTGGCCCGGTCAATACTGATTATTGCGTTGAGTTTAAGAACGAGAAACTCAGTGAGTGAATTACAAGAGTCAGCATTTTGGGTTTTAGATGTCATTTAAACATGCGACACACCATGTAAGCTTCATTTTGTCAAAAACCCATCATAGATAACAATTTTTGAAAGCAATGGGCAGCTCTCTTTATTGGTTAAGGAAATTGGGATATATTTAACAATTATTCGCCGAAGGCGAGGTGAACATCGTCGAATAATCCCCGAGACGAAGTCTAGGGGATTATTCGACAATATTCACCGAACCTGAGGCGAATAATTGTTTTAGTATAATTTCAGAGCTGAACAACAGAGAAATTTCTAAAATCATAACATTTTAGTAACATTTGTTAACATTTAATATAAACCGCGTGGAGCGGTTTATATGGCGTCATATAAGGAACCGCTCAACTAATCATTTATTAACTTTTTATTTTCTTTTTATTTTAACATTTTATATAAACCGCGTGGAGCGGTTTATATGGCGTCATATAAGGAACCGCTCAACCAATCAGATTGCTGGAAACTCTTTGCTCAGCTCTGAAATTATACTAACAGCAGTTATTCAGATATTCGTATTCGTCCAACCTAAAAAAGTGGAAAATGTTTGCACCGTAAAAGAAGAGTTGAAATGAGTTAGCAGGAAAAAAAATTTTTTACAAAAGCTTGGAATTTGTTAATAAAGGGAAGGACTGTGCAAACGATCAAGCAATTTTGTAAGTTTATATTTGGGGAACACCAATGCCTTAGCTGAAAATGTTTTGGTAAAATGTACACGTTGAAATTCTTCGAGGTCGTCACTAGAAAAAATTCAGGTGTTATGGTAACGGTCATCATTTTTTTCTGTGTCTATGTGCATGAGGGTTCTTTTTCTGTCGTATTTATGCTAGTGAGTTATTTAAAACCTTTTTCAATAGACTTACCTTTCTGTAGCTTCACCTTCAACTTTCAAATCGAATCTGAGTTAAAATACAAGGCTTAAACAAACGTTCTGATCTCGCTTTTAAGTGACATACATGTAACTAATGCTTTTTTCCCCAACAGCCCCTGCGTGTCTAACCCCGGATTGCAAGACGATTACTGATGCCTCAAGCTTATCTACAGTTAGCACAAACATTGAATTGACAGAAACCACAGCTGGTAAGATTATTATAGCCGCCCAATACGGACAACAATGTTTTATTTGTCGCGAAAATATGCACGGATATCTGTCTGCACACGTCTCCGCTCTCGGAGATACTGTCCGTGGATAAATGTCCGGGAACATTTTAGCGCCAAATGGAGGTGATTGTTGGTACAGTAAATGCCCCAGTTTTAGCTGGGGCATATTCGGTCGCGTGATGCGTTAAGACCAATCATGTGCGGCCGAAAGTTTGATGAATTATAGTTAAATATCCATGAGGCGGTGTACATGTATAACTGCGACACAGTTCTCCAGAATTCTAGAGTGCACCTAATGCTTTCAAACCTTGTTGCGAAAATATTTCAACCAGCATTGCTACGCACGCGGAACAAGATGTTGCCTATCTGTTTAGCTGAAGCTTTTCCAATACATTACATATACCGTTACTGCTTTGATAGGGCCTTAGAGCTTAACAGTCCCCAGGCCATATCAAGAGTGTAGCTTAGAAGTGAACGGATGGGCCAAAATTAAAGTCATCATCACTTCTTTTTCTGGCAACTGCTTCCTTTAGGAGGCGAAGCCACATACGCTGTCGAGATGAGTTGAGTGACTTAGTAAGCGTAACAATGAAATTCCGATCCTGATCCAATTTTGACCTGATGTTTCCCGGTGTTATTTACTGTTTTTTTTTTTTTTTTTTTCGGAGCATCTTAGTAGTTCGGCATTCGCACTTGATACATAGTTGAGTTCTCTTCTTTTGTGATTTCTGGCTCATAGTTCTTGCCGTGACACTACGGGAGACAGCAGAAAGCGATAAAATCTCACAGAAATATTCCAACAGATGTGATTGGTGCATTATAAAACTTAGGGGAAATTTTTTTTCTTTTAAGAGAGAGAATTCTACTGTTTACGTCAGTAAATTGAGTAGATCCAAAGGTATAATCTTTTAGTTCTTGACCTACGTGACACTACAAAAGACATAAACATCTCAAAATGATTTCACAGTGGTATCCACCGGAGCATAATTGAAATCAAAACTTTTCCCCGCAGGAATGTCTCACTAGACGTGATCTGCACATCATGTGAGCTGTAAGGAAATTTTTTTCTTTGAACGAGAGCATTTTATTGTTTGAACTAGCGACTTATGCCGAAAAGGGCCGCTATATTTGCGATGCGAGCGAGCTGCGAAGTACGATACCTTGAGTTATTCAACAGAACAATGGAACGGTGGATCGGCGGAATGGTGAAATATCTCAAGACGCGGAAAGACGGAATGTCTTAAAAAGTCTCAAGAAGGGAATTGCTATAGTAAAAATAGATATTTACAATTAACAGGCTAAATTAAAAGAAGCATAGATAATCATTGTTGCAGCGCAGAGGCTTTCGAGCGAGCCCCCTGAAATTATTGTTTTACTATTGTTGGTTTTATCAATATTGGAAATATTATTGTTTGTTACCATTTAGTTATTGGTTGAATGTCAATCAGACAATGTATTCTTGAATCAACTTTCTCCTGTGGAACAGGGTACTCATAAATATGTAGGATGCCTCAAGTTTTCTGTTTTGCATAAGAGACAAAGTATTTGCAACACTAACTTATTGCGTCATTATACAACCTAGTTCTTTTCAATGCTTCACAAATTGTGCACTTAAGCCTGAATTTTGTGAAGAACCTTTCTGAGTTGTTACCCAAATCTTTGTGAGCCAATCAAGAGCCCCCGATAACACCGACGGTTTTACTCGCGCTTGCGATATGTATGGGAGAAGCTTCTTTTCTTTCTTATCTGTTGATAACAGATCTACTTCCTCCTTCGCTTAAACCTTGCAATGCCTTGCTATCGTAAGAGTATTTTAAAATTTTCTTTTATTCTCTCTTTCCTTCTCTCTTTCCTTCTCTGTGACATTCTCGATCAATTTATTTTAAACTAATTGCTTCGCGACTCGACCCAATACGGAATATATTTTCTCCCAACTAGCCGTCAATATAATGTAGTATTGCCGTCTCAAAATCGC